ATAGGAGAAAATAGTAAAACCTGAAAAAAGAAGCAAAGCAACATAGCAGGCCTAGGAATTTACCTGCAGCCTCCTTTATTATGTTAAGATTTGCAATAAGCGAAATTATTTCCTTGGTGAACCATACTACTCTGATAATCATGATTTGATAATAATTTTTCAATCTGCATACTTTCTGCCAATTTAAACAACAGAAACCTTTACCTCATCAAGATTCAATTTCAAATTTACTTTATCCAAGTACATTTATGGGGGGATATTTTTTTTTTAACTCAGTGTAGTATGTTATACTTTCCTTTCAAACTTGGCTACATAATGAATGATGCATTTCATGGATTATTTAACTAGATATCAATTTCGGTATATCAAGCATACATTGAATAAATATGCAATCACAACTAGAGGCTCTACATGTTAACTTAGCCATAGGATATTTCCTGAATCACTCTTTTTTTTACTACCATGCAGTTGGAACTGACTCTTAGCTGACCATCCAGTGGATTTCCAAGGCTAAAAACACTATAGGAAGGTGCCATTCTTGTCAGGTGCCATGGAGTTGGGTACAACTCATGGTGACCTTATAAACAACAGATGTGAACCTTGTCCTAAGCTGCGTCGTCCTCACAATATCAGACATGTTCAAGCCTATTGCTGTAGTCACTGTGTTAGTCCACCTTAATGGGGGTCTTCCTCTCTTTGGCCAACCCTTCACCTTCCCGAGTATAATGTCCCTCTTCAAAGAATAGCCTCTCCTGGTAATATGCTCAAAATACGTTTGATGAAACTTTATCAACTTTGCCTCCAAGCAGCACTCTGGCTGCACCTTCTCCAAAACATATCTTTTTGTTCTTTTGGCAATCCATGGAATATTCAGTACTCTTCTCCAATACCAGTTCAAAGGCATTATTAGTTCCTCTTCTGCTATCCTTATTCATTGTCCGGCTTTCAGATGTTTAGCAAGTGACTCAAAAGACCATGGCCTATGTCAGTCATGGTCCTCAAACTGACATCACTGCTCCTCAATAATTTTAATAGGTCCCTGATTTAGGTGGCCCATTTTTCTTCCATGGACTTTAATTGCCAGAGAGGCACTGCCTTTGCGATAGAAGCACAACTCCCTATGGACTACACAGCTACAGCTCCCTGACTATGCCCACAGAGTTCTCTACTTCCTGGATGTACACCTCTAATACTAGTCATTAAAGACAGTCCTAAATTCCCATATTCTCATTAAATTTCTTTTTTTTCTTCATCTTTTTAAAGTTAGATATGTAATTTAAAATGCTAACACTTCTAAGTAAATGCTAACATGAAAAGAAATGCTTGTTTTTAACACCACTTTTGTTAATGGTCATCATGCCAGTTCACGAAGACCCCGTGTATAAAGATTGTAATCCATAGTATTTTCATTGGTTGTTTCTCTAGACTTGAATCACCAGGTCTTTCTGCCTCATCTGCCTTAGGAAATACTGCTAAAATTTGTTCCTCACAGGAACAAGGCTGCA